GGCAGGAGACTCGCTTGAGCCCAGGAGTTGGAGGTTGCTATGAGCGTGATGCCATGGCACTCTACCCAGGGGGATAGCTTGAGGCTCCTGTCTCCAAAAAAAAAATAAATAAATAAAGAGACAAAGTCTCACTTTATTGCCCTTGGTATAGTGCTGTGATGTCACAGTTCACAGCAACCTTTAACTCCTGGGCTTAGGTGATTCTTTTGCCTCAGCCTCCCAAGTAGGTGAGATTACAGGTGCCTGCTGCAATGTCAGGCTATTTTTTTTATTGTTGCAGTTTGTCCAGGGCTGAGTTCCAACCCCCTACCCTCAGTACATGGGGCTGATGCCCTACCCGCAGAGCCAGAGGCACTGCCTCCTTTTTAATTTTTTTGCTTTTTTTCCTTTTTTATTTTTTTAAAGACAGGATCTCTCTCTGTGATACTATAGCTCACTGCACCGTGCAATTCCTGACCTCAAGAGATCTTGCTTTAGCCTTTTAAGTAACTGGGACTATATGTGCCAGCTATTGCACCTAGCTAGTTTTTCTTTTTTTGTTTTGTTTTGTTTTAATTTTTGTAGAGATGGGAGTCTCGCTATGTTGCCCAGGCTGGTCTTGAAATAGGCTCAATCAGTCCTTCTGCCTTAGCCTCACAAAGTGCTGGGATTAATAGACAAAGAGGCACCTCACCTGGTTGAGGTGATATTTAACTTACCTGTATCATCTTACTTTGTTTTACTTTACTTTTTATTTCATTATTTATTTAAAGATAGAATCTCACTCTGTCACCCTGAGTAGAGTGTTGAGGCCTCACAGGTTACAGCAACCTCAAATTCTTGCTTGGGCTTAAGCAATTCTCTTGCTTCAGCCTCCTGAAGCTGGGACTACAGGTATCCACCACAACGCCTGGCTAATTTTTAGAGATCGGGTCTTGCTCTGGTTCATTCTGGTTCCGAACTTGTGAGCTCAGGTATGAACCACCATGTCTGGCCTTTATTTATTTTATTTATTTATTTTTTTTTGAGACAGAGTTTCACTTTGTGGCCCTTGGTAGAGTGCCATGACGTCATAGCTCACAGCAACCTCAAATTCTTAGGCTCAAGTGATTCTTGCCTCAGCCTCTCAAGTAACTGGGAC